TCCATCAAGGCACGCTATTCACAAAGATTCATGCTACTTGTGAATTCATTTAGAAATCGGTAGAGAGAACCAAATTTAAATTTGAATTCAATGTTTTTATTCTGCCCATCATAATTTTCAATTATTTGATTCAAGTTTTGAAATGAGTTCATTCAATCCTCTTTCTTTCACAGTTAATGAACAAAAAATTAATTGGATCAAACTATATAGGTTGAAAAAGAAACTTGAATATTGTGTTGGCTACAGAGGAGTACAAGTTTGTGCTCACTATTTTGTCCTGATGAACCTGGTGAAGGGGCAACCGAACAAGAAGTCTAGGTTCGCCCGAGATAGAAAAAGGTTGATGAGATAGAGTGGTGTTACATTTTGGCATCTATGTCAAGTGTATTGCAAAATCAGCTTGAGCTTATGCCTACCACCTATGACATGATTATGAACCTCAAAGAAATGTTTGGGGATCAAAATCATACTGCTAGGCAAGTTGCGATAAAATATCTGATGAACCAAGCATGTCTGAGGGAGCACTAGTAAGGGATCATGTTCTAAAGATCCAATATAAAAAACTTGAGCAATATTTCCCTATTCTACAAGTGAATCTTCTTAGTGAACTGGAAATCCAAGGAGCTAAGATAGACGGGGAAACCTAGGTTAGTATCATACTCCAGTATCTGTTAGAGTTTTTTAAGCAGTTTCTCCTTAATCATGAGATGAATAAGCGTCCTTATTTTCTGGAGTGACTCCTTAAGAGACTCTAGACAGTTGAAGGTCTCTTTTAGCAATAACCTCGTGCTTGCTTTTTATAGTGAACTTAATTTATTATTTAGTAAAAGTTCTTCAATTTCTATTGCGAATCTGTATGGATAAAATATTTGCATTATATTAAATAAATGTTATGCATGTGTACCTTTTATTTTACATTGTAGATAATTTGGTGTGTAAAATTTGACTTATACACAAAAGATTAGATTATTGGATACTTGTATGATATAAGTAAAGGTTCACAGGCTTAGATGGAATATGACAAACCATTAGTCAGATTGTAGTACAATCTTCTGGCATAGTCTGTCTTGATTATAGGTGACTGTCTAATGTCTCAAATTGTTGCACTAGTACACTTTGTGTATTGGACATAACCGTTATTGAGGTTTTTATTTTTACAAACTAAATAAGAAAATAATTACCTCATGATTATTATGATTGCTTAAACTGTTAAGCCTGAGATATTTAATGAACACTTGAATATAATAGTTGTTACTTTAATTTATAAAAGAGTAAGATTCATATTTGAGTCAACAAACTTGGTGAATTGAGAGATGACATTATTTTTATTATGAAAATTAATTATTAAAAAATTTATGTCTCAACATTTAAATAGGTTGATAATGTCCTCTTGAGCAAGCTCATAAGTTTTGTACATGCCATACCTTATAGGTAGATTTAATTATTTGACATGACAAATAAGTTGAGTGGTAAGATTTTAAAGATTAAAAAAAAGTCAATTAAATATAATTGTGAGTAATTTAATTACTTGACAAACATTTATAATCTTAAACGTGGGTAGATTATTAAGCATATAATAACGAGGAGTTCAAAATATAACTTCGAGAAAATGCCCGGAAGACCAATAATAATTTTTTTGTGAAAATTAGGGTTGAATCATCCTTAATGGACTTTTAATGAGGTTAGTTCATCACTCAAACTTATTTGGGGATAAGTCATATTTTAATCTTACTAATAAGTAGTTTCGGATGGTGGTGGTGCTGGTGGTTTCGGATGGTGGTGCTGGGGCTGTGGGCTAGTGATTGTGGTGTTTTTGGTGATTTCGGATAGTGGTGCCGGGGATGTGGGCTACTGATTGTGCAGCTGTTCGTTTGGAATGGGGGTGTTGAATTCGAATTTGGGGAAGAATGAAGATAAAAGGGAAAAAAGAAGAGAAAAGGAGGTTTGTGTAAAATGATAAAAACGTTGGTTCAACCAATGTTTTTAAGTGTTAGAGACGTTCATCAGACCAACGTTTCAGAAGTTCATCAGACCAACGTTTCTATGAAAAATTAAAAGTGTTATGAAAATGTTGGTAGAAGTGACGTTTACATAGAAAATGTTTGTCCAAATAACGTATTTTAGTCTAAAAATTGTTACCAAAATAACTACAACAAATTTAAAGGCTTTGATCGTACATTCACTCCCCTTAAGGAAATTATGCCCCCACTATGTTGCTGCTGGGTTTGTGACAAATTCTTCTAAGAATAACAAAGCCAAATAGAATTTTAGATAACAAACTCTAAAATTCTCTCAAGAGCAGAATAGAGAAACGTTTTGGTATCTGTTTATTGAAGGATTTGTACAGATATTTATAATAACTTAGAGATGCAAAGAAGAGACATAACTCTTAGGTCAAGAGACATGTAGCATTTAATTAACTACTTAATAGATACAAAATAATTAATTTTTTATAGGCTTCAAGCCCAGGATGCAAAATAATTAATTGTTTATAGGCTTCAAGAGGCTTCAAGCCTAAGATGCCCATCTTTTGACTTTAAATATTATTTTATTTAAAGCCTAATCAAGGCTCATTGATTTGAAAATTTTGAAACTTCCCTTCAAATCTTCCCACCATTCAAACTTATAAAATTTGGTGTGTTTCTTCTTATAAACTCTTACACTCCCTTTCAACTTTTTCAATGTGAAATATCTTACATTACTAGCTATTTCTAACAAAAACGTCATTCCAATTAACTTTTTTAAAATTACTTGAGTTTGGAAAATAGTTTGAAAAGAACCCTTTTTGAATATAAATTTGAAAAACCCCATGGGTTAGGGTAAAAGCTCATTGTTTTCTCTTTCTTCTTCTTTTACCAGAGCGTCTCAGTCGGCAATCTTCATAACTGCGTTGAATATATCATTTGTGTTGTGAAAATCAACCCAATTAGATCTTGGTTCTTTTAGATAGATGTACATATATGTCTACATTTATGTTCTCAGGTATTTTTTCCAGTTTTGCTTCTGAATGTTATATGTCACACCCCTACCCTGGATCACATAAGGTGAGTGACGGACCGGCCACCAAGGCCTTAACCAACCATCTTTGTGCAAAATAAATGCAAAATATAACGGAAGACAAATAATAAAGTGATTCATTCCACCAATCTAATGAATACCAGAGTAATAGACTAACATCACCGACATTATTATTAAACTCATGTAAAACAATAATTAATCCACAAGATTCACTATTCTAAACATAAGCAACATTGTTCACAAAACAATTGAATATTTGTCTCAAAACTACAAAAAATATCTATTCCTGAAGACCTACAATAAAATAAATCTTCAATTCTTCTAATCTTTTGTTTCTCTAAGGACTTACTCCTCCCTCTGATCCTCACCTGAAAAATATTAAATATTTGGGTGAGCACAAAGACCCATAAATAGCAACCACTTCTAATGAGGTGTGAAATAAATCCCAGTGTTTATATACAAAAATAAACTTTGATACATACATAAGTAAAATAAATTGTACCCCAATTCCTCCCACATAATCATTTAAACAAAATGATTTCATGATCACAAATAACTTTGTAAATGAAAAGATATTTATAACCCAAAACACCACTTATTTTCACAAATAATTTTATAAATGAAAAGACATGTATAACTCAAAAAACTCACACACATTCAATTCCCAAACACACTTGTCAAATCTTGTTTGTTACCATTAGCCTGGTAATTAGTCTAGTTTCTTGTTACCATTAGTCTGGTAACTGACCCAGTTTTTTGTCATCACTAGCCTGATGACTAGTCTCGTCTCTTGACCACTAACCTGGTAACTGACCTAGTCTTTTGTCATCACTAGTTTGATGACTGGCTTAGTCGCTTATTACCACTTAGACCTGGTAACCCCAGTCCCCGTCTTATAAACATGATTTCTACACACACCAAAACTGTAATTTTAATCCCAACGCACAAAATTTTCCTTTCATCACCAAAGCAATGATTTAAAATTTTTTCACAAGTTTTCCAAAATTCACATGTATAATAGTGCACAATTTCCAAAACATTCAATAGCAACCCCAAATATAAACACCTATATCATATATATGAGAAATCCACACGCATGCACCCACACATTTAATATAGAAAACCTCCCAAAAAGAAGTAGTAAACTACACACCTTGATTTTCCAAAATCCAATTCAAAGCCCTCTTTCTCAACCTCAATACAATCACCACCTAATCCAAAATAACATATAACAATCAATCTATATTCCTAACTTTGTCCTTTCGCAATTCTATATTTAATTTTTATACTTCCTACCCATTGATATATAATTAATATATCTTTTACATACAAATATCCTTTCTAATATGAGGTAATAGGGTATGGAAGTATTCTGGGCCATTTAGAAAACGTTTCAAAAGTTTTGGGGTCAAATCATATATTCATCAATATTCTTCACCATGAACATATATATATATATATATTACTACTTATGATAAATCTAACACTATGATTGAATAACATACAAAATCCATAAATTAAGTAACAAATCCATACCTTTAATGGATTCAAGTCCTTTCCTTCTTTCTTACTTCTTTCTCTCTCTTCTTCTTCTTCTTCTTCTTGGTTCATGATACAGCCCCTCCACAAGCCTTCTCACCAATAAAAAAAACCCTACAAACCTAAATACATTTATATATATACGAAGGGTTTGACCTATCCAACAATACTACCCTATTTAAACCACATGTATAATAGTCCTAATAGGTCTCTATAATTATATGATATTTTTCCTATACCAAAAACTAAATTATCTCCACTAATTTCCAAATCATATCCAATAGCTCATAAGGATAGACCCCAAGCCAAACAAAAGTCTAAAATTTCTCAAATCTAACTTATTCATTTTTTTTTATTATTATTATTATTTTATTTCATTTTTTTTATCCTGGGTATTACATTATAACCCTGTCAAACAAACACGTTTGATTGTTGTTGTGAAGGGAAAGATGTGTGGTTCGCTTGGAAGGCAATTTGGGTGCTTAGGCATCCTCTTTCAGGCGCACCTCCTTCAGGTGACCCACCTCTTTCAGGCGAGAAAGGTTAGGTTTTTCTTTTTAACTCTTGTATTGGTTATTAAACTTGCTGTGAAGTTTAAGAATTCTTTAGTTTCATGTTTATTTAGAAAAATTAGTTGTTTACTTAATTTACAAATTGATTGTTTTAATTTCTTGTTGTGATTCAAAGTTTGAGCTTTTCGTAATGTAGAATTGATTTATTGAATGGAAAATGTGGCTGTTTTGTTACTTTTTCTGGAAAATGGGAGACTTGAAGAGTGTTCAGTGCCAAATTTTCTGAAAAGAAAATGGGCTAAGGAAAAGAAATTAGATTAGCAAGGCTAATACTTTAAATGAAATTGGGCTAAATGGTAGTTGCTGCTCATATGCAAGAAGCGAATATCCACTTATGGGTTGGCTACTGAAAGTGTGGTGGGAGGAGTAAATCCAAGTTTTGCTGCACCCTCTGAAGTTACCCATAAATCTCCCCTGAACTATTTTTTCTTTGATAGGTCTTCTTTCCTTAAAAAATAATTACCTGTGTGATGTATCTGCCTTTGTGTTTCTAAAATATTGCGAATTCTAAGATAACTACTTGATATTTCTTTCATGGAGATTTTTTGGTGGTTTTTTGTGTGTGGGTTCCATGTTCTATGTAATTAAGGAAAACACAGACCTCCATATGTACTTGATATGATAGTGTGGGAATGGAATGACTGATTGTATATTCATTGAGGTCAGTCAGTTTTTAGCACACACTCAAATACATGGGCCCATGACTGTATTCTGCTTTGGGTATGGAGTAGAAGTTTGTATGTTCATAAAGCGTGGCTGATTTGGGCTTCTGTTGTAAATGACTCCATCCATGAAGATAAGATTTCAGCTCTAGGTGTAGAGCGGATGACTATTTAGCATTGGGAGTGGGCAAACATTGGCACTTGTTGTAAGTGCCTGGGCCCAGGACTAATAAGCATTCTGTTTTGGGCATTTAGTGCAGCATTTTATAGAGTCCTCAAACACTGGCACTTGGTTGTGAATGCTTTAGTCCTAAGCTAATAAGCAACATGATGATTAACTGCCAAGCAATCATACTTTTGTATGGATGAAGGAAGCATTATGATGTCTTGGCATGTCTGATATTTTTGTTCACTTGTGCCATTTTGTGTGGTGTGCCTGGATCTAATGGGGGAATAGTTTTTCTTTCATGAGACATCGAGGGGCCCTTTTTGGAGTAAATCGCTGGGCATACAATATGACAAATTATAAGGATGCATAAAATTTGTGTTTTCAAAGAATATGACAATCAAGGTTTATCTATTACTGATAATTCTAGTGTCCTGATTGCAGTAAATTTTGCATGGATATTGAGTTGAATATTGAAATTGTTTTGAGTTTCAAACCAGCCACTTTTCTTTTTTGTGGTCAGGGTTCTTGTTTTGAAAATAATGAGTTGAGTTTCTGTGGGGCATTCAAGAGTTTTGCCTCACAAGATGATTTATGGAGCTGAACTTAATGCCAATAATACTATTGTTAGAAGTCTCATCTCCTGTGTTGCTTTTGCCCTTTGGTTTTTTCAATTAGCAGCCAAACAAAACAAATGATACACGCCTTTTCGACAGTCCGCTAGAGATTATTTTACATCTCTTTGTCCCTTCCTCTATGCCATTTCTGTTTGGAAGAACAAGTTGGTTTGCAAATTGTTTGACAAATTGCCAGTGTGGAACAAATTTAAAACATGAAGTTTCTATTAGATTTGTTTCAGCTTGATGATGAGTGCTCGGTGATATTCATGAGTTAATTCCATGTTGCTTAAACTTAAATCAGTAATTTATTTTGTTATATTTGTTTGTGGCAGGAGTGGAAGGTACAAGACAATTGTGTTACTGAATTCATGAGACAATTGTGTTACTGAATTGTGAATTCTGCTAGACAATTGTGTTACTGAATTGTGTATATATAACATGGATCCTTCTTGTTGCTTTCAAGTATGCTAACAAAGCGAATTTCTATTTCGGTCTTTACGCGCCTCACTCACCCAAATTCGTCGTATTTGATTCCTTAGTGTTCAACGTACTCTGCACAACCCCTCTCAAAACCCAACCGACAAACTACAAAATTTCTTGTTTACTACAACTTACAAATAACAAAAAATGGCCAAAATGGCAATATCAAAGAAGCCGTGTCGATTTTCAATCGCATGCCAACTAATAACATTATCTCTTGGACTACAATGCTCATTGCATATGCTAAGAATGGGCAAATTCAGATGGCCCGTAAAGTATTCGATGACATACCCCAAAAAAGTGTTGCCTCGTGGATGATGTTTATGATTTATTTTTGAAAATGCCAGTATGAAATGAGGTGTCTTATGCTGCAATGGTTACTGGTTTTGTTAATATAGAAAATTTTGATAAGGCTGAAGAACTGTATGCAGAGACGCCTATGAATTGGCATGATTCTGTTGGTTCAAATGCTTTGATAAATGGATATTTGAAGATGGGGAAATTGGATCAGGCAGTTAGGGTTTTTGAAGGCATGATGGAGAAAGATGTGGTTTCTTGGAGCTCAATGGTTGATGGGTATTGTAGAAATGGAAGACTTGGTGAAGCTAGAGTGTTATTTGATAGGATGGAAGGGAAAAACGTGGTTACTTGGACTGTTATGATTAATGGCTATGTGAAAATGGCGTGTTTTGAAGATGGGTTTGGATTGTTTGTGCAGATGAGATGAGACAGGAAGATGTTGTAAAGGTTGTCTCGAATACACTGACCGTAATTTTTCAAGCTTGTGGAAGACTCGGTAGATATGAAGAAGGGTGTCAAGTGCATGGTTTGGTTTTGCGTATGGGATTTGAGTTTGATTTTTTCGTAGGCAATTCTGTTCTTAGTATGTATTGTAGGTTTGGTTGTATAGATGCGGTTAATAATGTATTTTGTACGATGAAGGAGAGAGATGTGGTTTCTTGGAATTCTCTAATTGCTGGTTATGTTCAGGCGGAAGAAATTAAAGAGGCTTACAAACTTTTCAAGGAAGTACCAGATAAAGATGTAGTTTCTTGGACGACCATGATTACTGGGTTTTCTAGTAGAGGGATGACAGGGAAATCCACTGAGTTGTTTAAAATGATGCCAGAGAAAGATGATGTTCCTTGGACTGCTCTTATTTCAGGGTTTGTGAACAATGGAGAATGTGAGGAGGCTATCCATTGGTTCATTGGTATGCTTTAGCAAGTGGTCAGACCAAACCCTCTTACCCTAAGTAGTGTGCTCATTGCTTCAGCTGGTTTGGCTATTAAACCAAGGCTTGCAAGTACATGCTCATGTTTTGAAAATGGATATGGAACTAGATTTGTACGTCCTAAATTCACTGATCTTGTTGTATTCGAAGTGTGGAAGTGTAAATGATGCCTATAAGACCTTCCAAACCAGCCCTTCCCCAAATGTTGTTTCTTTTAACTCGATAATTACTGGATTTGCCCAAAATGGGCATGGGAAAGAAACACTTAATTTTTTTAAGAAGATGCAGGATGAATGCTAGGAACCCAACAAGATTACCTTTCTAGGCATTCTGTCAACCTATACTCATCTGGGAATGGTAGAAGAAGGATGGAAGTACTTCAAATCCATGAGATACTCAAATAAGATTGAACCAGGCCCTGATCACTATGCATGCATGGTTGATCTCCTCGGGAGGGCTAGTTTGCTAGATGAAGCAAGTAATTTTATCACTTCAATGTAGCCCCATTCTAGGGTTTGGGGTGCTCTTCTTGGTGCAACCAGGAACCATGTGCGACTTGAACTTGCTAAACTTGCAGCTCAACATCTTTCTGAATTGGAGCCCCACAATGCGGCTCCTTATGTGGTTTTGTTCGACCTTTACTCTGTTTCAGGGAACATGAAGGATGAGGAACAAGTTAGAATAGCTAAGAAATTGAAAGGGATAAAGAAAAGTCCAGGTTGTAGTTGGATTATGGTGCAGGACAAGGTTACTTGTTCCTTTCAGGAGACCGATTCAGGTAAAGTTTGAAGATATCAAAAGCACATTATGGACAATTTTGGATGAAATAAGACGGTAAGATTATTGTAGATTTTAAACACAATGGATGTTTTCTTCAATACTCTATTTTGGCAAACATAAATGGAAGCCAACCATGTAATGGATTTTTCATATACTCCTGCTTGAGCTATTCCCCAAACTCAGTCTCCTCAAAAATTTATTCCCAAACGCAGTCAGTTTTAAACTTTTTTTCCAAACCCAGTCTCTTTTTTAAAATCGTCATTCCAAATGACGCCTTCATGGGTTAAAACGTCAATTGAAATGACAATTTTAAAATGAAATTTTTGTTATTGAAAACGCCATTCAAAATGACGTTTTGAAAGTTGTCATTTTTAATGACGTTTTTTTAAAATAAATTTTCAAACAGTAACTAACAAGCATTTAAAAAAAATAGTGGGTAGAAAACGTCATTGTAAATGACGTTTTCTACCCACTTATAATCCCCAGTCCAGTCAGTGTTTCTTGTTGTTGGGAATTCATCCTCCATGATGGTGCTCGCCATCATAGTTATGCTATTTAGGTAAAACTACCTTCACTACTTATCTCTAATGTCTTTTCCCCCTCTTTTGATTGTAGAACTTCGTAAGTAGCTCAAATATTGCTGGTGCTTGTGGGTGTCCTTGGAAGGATTTTCCATTGTGTGAGATATATATATATAACTGTGGGATCTGGAAATTAGAAATGTCTTACTATTGAGGGTAGGTTTTTAGGAATTTGTTAAGTTCTGAGTGTTGCTTCACAGATAATGAATCATGGTTGGTTGATTGCTCCTTTGCTTTACAGATATCTTAGGATTACTATGCCAACTAATATTGAATTGTCCTACTATCTACCGCTATTGGATTGCAACATTTTTTAATGTTTGTGGAGTTATAGTTTAATTGGGATAGTTCATCATCTGTGAAGCTTGACGTGAAGTGATGTGGATTTTGGAGGACTATAACTGTGATGACCTTGCTGGTGGCGTTCTCATTCTATGGTGCAAATCAGTTGAAGTTTCACTGGGTGGAATGCTATGAAAAGCTTCTTGTAGGCTCAGTCCTATGTTTAGTTGGAGTTTTGACACTAGTCTTTCATCATCATGATGGAGACGTGAGTTCTACTGGAGAGCATTTACATAGGAAGCTCATTGCCATATGAGGATTCTTCTTAATCCTCCATTCTCTGTTTTGGGAAGGTTGCCAAGTAGAATGCATGTTCTTATCAGCTAAAGAGGGGTGGATGTAAGACATTGATTCATTGTGCCATTAATGAGCTGGAGAATTGAGGTTGGATCAGTATAATGTGTGTGTGGGTTTCCCTGTCCATATTCATTAGTTTTCAACACTAACTGTAGACTGAGCCAAACTACATATATTTCTATACCACAAATAGAGCTTCAATTAGCCAACCATGATTTGCTCATTAAATTGGTATATTTCTTTTTGAAAAGTAAATTTGCTATCCCCAAGTCCTCAACCAAAAATCAGTAATAGCAAAGGTATAGAATTATAACAGAAGAAGAGCAGCCATTCTTTAAAACCTAAGCTTTGCTAGTTTACAGACTACTTATATATTATAGATGATTACATTTGTTCTGTTGAACATGAAAAGTACACCTAAGAACTAACTTTAGACACAGGCCGGCTATCAAAACAACAAGAATCCATCCATCTCTGCCCATTTTCTCCAGACTTTAGAAAAACTTCATATGGGAATCAAGGTCCTCACTACAAAAACTCAAGGGCACAATGGCAAGCTCCAAGCGCCCTGTCCATTCCTATCCCGACTTCAAAGTTATAGGTTTCTCTATTGCTACCCCATCAACACACAACATTTGCTTGTACTCTTCGTCCCCCAAATCTACCATTGATTTAGACTTCTTCTCCCATGGATTCCACACCACTGAGTATACGGAGAAGACAAGGCATAAATAGATGATGAAACATTATAATCACATACAAAAAATGATGACAATTATATTAACGTTATGGCATCTCCTTGCTCATGAAGATTTGCACATGAAGATTTACCTCAGATTCAAACGTTATGTCATCTCCTTGCTCTCTAAAGCGATTTCTTTGGCAAAGGTTGTCTACATAGTCTAGTGTTTCCAGTCCTTCTATCCTAAATTCACTGTAAATATAGTTTGTTTTTAGGAAATGTGAACTCCAAAGTCAATAGAGTACATGTAGGAAAAGAATCAATCACATATCTTCAAAAAAAACCACATCTATTACAAACAGTGTGGAACAGTGGGGCAATTTGTGACACTTCACCACTTAGATAAACTAGCAATGTCATTGGGGCAATTTTCATACACAACAATGGGGCAATTTGTTAAGGTAATCCGAATCTTGTTTGCCATAGTTGCCAAAAGTGACACTTCACCACTTAGATAGAACCACAATGCCAAACTGCATAATGGCCCTTCATCACAGAGGTTTCTTCTTTTTTGTCATCATTTCATTTAGCTTTTAACTTAAAAGGGACCGACTATGAACCTTGTGCTAAAAGTCAAAGAGAGTCACCACTTAACCCAAAAACTCAAATCAACATTCAAGCGATTAAACCCACAATTTTCAACTTAATATGTTAGTTAACCCAAACCAGATATGTATCTGAGTAATGCATACATCTCCATTCCATTCAATTCCTATATTACTTAGTCTATATATACGACTCAATCCCTCATTGTAATTTTTTGGGTAGTCAAAGTTGGAGTTTTTAAAGATAGAAAAACTGACAGAAATCAATAACCCAAATCACATCACAATTCTTGATTAAACATATATGCAGAGACAAAATTATTTTTTTATATGAACATTGCAGGTCTGCTTGCAGAAGTTATAGAGAAAGAAACCAACTAAATTAATCAGTCTCCACAAACCAAAACAAAGAAAAAGATTGCTCAATCTCCAACAAAGAATTAGAAGAGAATGACAAGGTGAGAGATAGAAAGAAAGAAGAGAGTTTTGAAGAGGTTTTTGTGGTACCTTTGATCTATTGAAGGAAGAGCGTGCTTATAAACTCCCACTCTATCTTCCTTCTTTCTTTTGATCCGTAACTGCCAAAAATTCTTGTGAGGGGTTGAGCGTGTGGGACTGCTTTTCCCCATTTCTGATGATTAGGGTTTGGATTTGGAGATTTTCTCACCTTCACTCGCTTGTTCTCTCACTTGCTTTGAACTGTCGCTTCTTGAATTGGGATTTGGATAATAATCTCAACTTCGATTCACTAGGACTTGATTTGGAGCGGCAGAAATGAAACTAAGTTTGAAATAATTTTTTTCCATGAAATAATTATATATATATTTTCATATATAGAGAGAGAAATTGCTAGAGAGAGAAAGATGGGCACCTGTCAGACTGGTCTCATCGAAGAAGAAGCACTCGTCGGACTGGCCTCATCGGAGAAGACCATAGTTGAGTGGTTGGAGGAGGAGGAGGAGGAGAGATCGATCCGAGACAGGAATGCGATGGCTGAGTGGTTGGAGGAGGAGGAGGGAGCGATCTGAGAGAGGATGGCTGACTGGTTGGAGGAAGAGAGACCGACTATGAGAGAGATCTCTGAGAGGGTGGTTGACTTGAGAGAGTGGAGAAGGAGGATGTCTCGACTGTGGGAGAGGGATGAGAGGGTAAATTTTTTTAAAAACATTTATGTCTTTTGTCATGTGGGTCATAGAAATTATTTGGGTAAATCATCATTTACAGTGGCGTTTTTTAAAACGTCATTGTAAATGACGTTTTCTACCCCCTTTATTTTTTTAAAAAACATCACGTTAAAAAATATCATTAAAAATGACGATTTAAAAAACATCATTTTGAATGACGTTTTCAGTAAAAAATTTCAGTTTTAAATCGTCATTCCTAATGATGTTTTAACATCTGAAGACGTTATTTCAAATGACGTTTTTGAAAAAAAAATTGGGTTTGGAAAATAAGTTCAAAACTGAATGGATTAGGGAATATTGATTTGAGGGGGCTAGGTTTGGGGAAAACCTCACTCCTGCTCTAATGAAAATATGTGAAATTTGGTGTTGAATTTTTTGTTGAGAGAAACTGTGGTGAAAGTCTTGTCTTTCTTTGTGGTCTTCCTTTGCACATATTCCATATTGTATAATGAAAGGCCAGAAAACATTTGAAGGGAGCAATGCCACTTTGTAACTTTCTTCCCTTCAATCAAGCTACAGGGCTATAGCCATGAGTAAAATCCAGGAGAGAAGAGAAAATCCCATGAGAAAGGGGCAAGCTAGTGACAGATTGGTAAAAAAATAATATGCCTTCGGAGTGATCAGATCAACCCATCATTCTTCCCTAGGTGAATCATTGCTTATTCGTATACATTGGAATTTAATTAGGAGGATGACAATGAGAATGAGAGGTTTCTGTCTTTTGTTATAAGGCGACTAAAATTTTAGACAGGAAGGACAATAAACCCTCCATCATGGAATGGTGGTTTAATATATTGTTAAAATCATAGTCCACTATTGGCTTCACTCTGCTTACTCTCGGGTTGGAGTAGACCTATTCGAAAGCTAGTCTTTCTCATGCTAGTTGTTATGTGTTCTCTTTGTTATTTTCGATTTTTTATCTCAACCCATGTTTTTTTTTAAAACTTATATCCAAAAAAGAGTTATTGTTAAATTATTTTTTAAACTTAGGCACTTTTAAAAAGGTCAATTGGAATGACCTTTTTATACCAAAAAAGACAGTCATTTAAATGTTTTTCTAAAAATGTCACTTCAGCCAATGTTTTAAAAAAAGTATTATTTTTTAAAAAAGTCACAAACGTTGGTCCGACCAACGTCTTTTTAAAGAAGTTGGTTCAATCAACGTTTCTTTAGTTTCTTAAAAACGTTGGTTAACCAACGTTTTTATGCTTGGTTTTTATCTATATTACTAATAAAAGAAAGTTAAATGTAAAACTTTTAAATATCTAATTTACCCATAACAATTCTTTAAAGTCATGTAAGTCCTCTCAATCATTATAGTAAAGCCTTACTCCCATCGTTACAGCCAAATTCCACTGTCCCCTTCCACCCCCGCCGGTCTAGATATATGTCGACTCCTCTGGTATCAGCCGATGTTTTTGTCGTCTGGGGGCATCCATGTCAGTGGCTTCGTAGTGGCGTTGGCATTGGCTTCGTTCATTGGAAGTTGAAAGCGCAGTCCTTCTACAGTAACTGATACATAACGCCTCGGTCATCAGTTACCAATTTCAATAATTGCTGCCCTCACTCCTTCTGCCTCTACGTATTCTGAGTCTTAGTGTATGAATTTACAATGCCTATATCAGTGATCAATTTGGGTTGTAGTAATTCCTATACACCCAATTGCAATTTGATGCACTCTCTTCATTGGAGACGCACATTCTTCCTGCCTTTCTATTTTGGACCTAGCACTGGATTTCTTGATATTGGTATTTCGCGTGTATATGCTGCTTGTTCTTACCTTCTGTGTTGATTCTCTCCGTACGTAACAAAGCTTGGAAGTTTGAGTTTGTTGAGGATTAGCAGCTTCTTAGTTCTGGAGATCACTCAGGTTGGTCTCTCTCCGATCTTTTATTGTTTTATGTAAGTTTTATGGTATTTGGGTTGTTGGTGTGTTACCTCCTTGTTCTTCATTCTGTTGTTGAATTGGTTTGTGTTTTAAACTTGATGCATTGTTCTCGATGTTTTCATTCTTGCAAATTCTATTACAACTTTGAAACAATATGTCTATTGAATTGTTGTTCTCTTTGTTTGTCTTGTTTTCCACAATAAAAAAAACAGTAAGAAAAAGGATAATTGATTCTTCGAAACATTAGATATCCCCATGACAGGTCACAGTCAGAAACAGTGGAACCTGATTTTGTACCCCTGCATGCTACCCAAAAAATGTTACAATTTTAGAAGACATAAAAGCTCAAAGAGGCAATTATCTTAGCACATCAAACCATACAATCAGCATATAAGCTGTGAAAAGTTATGAATCTCTATAATTTTCTCTTACAATATATTCAAATTAAAAAACCATAAACCGTCACATCAAAACAGCGGTCCAAAAATTATCTCATTATTTGTGATAGGTCTATCGTCAAAAAAGAAAAAAGCTCAAATTCAAGCATTCTTCTTACTACAATTAAGCACACCACTGACACCAACTATCTTACTCATTAGTACATAGCAGGTATAAGATGCATAACACATTTAGCACTCTCAGATTAAGCATGATCCATTGCAATACATTCCAAATACCAGAAGTAGATTCTGAAAAATAAGATATTATCCCCAGATGGCAACATTTGCAGTCAAAATTACCTCCTTCCTGTTTCCTTCCTATAGGCTCCTTGTGCTTTTGATTTTTAACCAATTTGAAGAAGCAGACCAAGATTATCACATGGAAACATAATTAGAATGGAAGCATAAAAGAGTAGATATGCATCATGTTTTATGCTAAATGGTTTCTATGATTATTTAGGGGGGTTTTCAGCTCTGGCATTCATGTCAAGTAGATGTTTTGATAAGTTTAGCATGCTGTCTATTCAACAGAACTTTTTTTGTATGGTTGATAACTTTTTCTGTTCTTTCCTTTGTACTGCCAAGTTGTATCTTTTTAGCACATAATTATTTTCTTTAAGACCTATCGTAAAATGCAAAAAATTAGAAACCTTTTTTCAATCATATTTTCCTTGTTTCCTTCCCTGGCTTAGAAATAGTCTCTGCATGTGTTATTTTGATAATTAGATGGAATTCCATGTTTATATTTAGTTTTGACCTTAGTTCTTTTCCAGCCTGCATCAGCCCTGCTGATATAAATGCTGAGGAAACTCTTAATACTCTGAAGTATGCAAATTGGGCTCGCAATATATAGAATAAGCCAGTTGTAAGTTTTTGTAGTTTTTTTTTTCTATTCTCTTTCTCTCAATTTATAACACAGAAACAGAGATTGTGAAGGTGAAGGTGATATAAGTAGGTTTTTCCTCATTTATTCATCAAGTAAACAGGGATCCTATATCTAACGAGATGTTGAAGATGCGCCAACAACTGGAGTATTTGCAGGTAGAACTTTGTGCCTGTGGGGGGAGGAGCTTCCTCTGATGAAGTACAAGTACTTGGAATTGGTCTTCTCTGATGATTTCTAGATTAAATCTGATTGGTTATTCTTTGTCTCATAAAAGGATAGCTTTTTCTATCAGATTGCTTTCTAAAAGAAAATTTAAATTATCATATTTCATTGGTGTAGGTTCTTAAGGATAAGCTTGCTTGGCTTGAAGCTACTAATGAGGATCTCTGTCAAGAACTTCATGAATACTGCAACAGGGGCACTGCCATGGAGCAATGTGAAACAGATGCTAAAGTATACAATAAATGTTGACTTATAGCTCCCCAAGTTTCTTATTATTTTATGCAGACTATTTTTTTGCATAAATTAGTTAGAGAAATAAAACTTGTTTTTAGTTGGACTGGCTGCACCTATAATTTTGCAACTTTCCTTTTCCAGGTCGGTCGCAGCTATTCTGTGAAAAGCGAAGGGCTTAAAAAGGGTTTGCAAAGTATGGACTCATTTGATTATCCAATAGGCAAAAATGATGTGACTTCTTTCTGGTTTTGCATTGGCTTGATAATAAGCTGTGACTAGAATTTGCCTTTGAGAGTAGGAATCCTGGACTTCACGTTCTTTACCTCATTATTTTTTGCTGAATACAAACTTAGATTTCTTTAGTGGTTTCACTGGTTTTAGAATACGGTTACCAATTTTTACAGGTTATTCTGGTGATATTGATGAAGCAGCAAAAGAGACGGAGCATATCCTTCTGCAAGATTCTATGGACAAAGAGTTGACTGAGTTAAATAGGCGCTTAGAGCAGAAGGAGGTAGAGTATCTATTTTTAAGTGCATTTTAATTTATCTATCAGTGAGGTAATACGCTTGTCAATGTGCAGTATTTCTGATATTGTTGTGTAATTAAGGTTGAACGGCCCAAAAAAAAATATGACCTGATTCTTTTGGAATCAGAATCCACTAGGTACTGAACACTAAATGAAGGCAGTATTTACTAGAACTCTGGCGAATGTTGGTTTCTGGGTGGGGTGGGGTAGATTCATACCTTAGCTCTAGGCATTATTTTCTTAAAGAGGCTGCACTCAGACATGCAACGCGAACTGGTATTCTCACACTTCATAACCCATGTTATAACCATTGTAACATGATATGCCAATATGGCCTCTGGAAATGAATGCAAAGGAGAAATTGTAAATAATGGCATTGTTTGTTTGTGAAAAATTCAATTGACAACTTATTCCAAAAGTCTAAAATTAAATAAAGAGTTGGCATATCTATGTTTGTAAACAGTTTATATTTGGTCGTGGTATCCATAAAACTATTTTCTGCATGGATTTGCTTTTGCATGTGTAGGTTAATATTATCATTACAACATTTTTTTCACTTACTTTTTTATATGGTCTATCCCTGCAACAATTTGTATCTATGGTTGCTAACAATAAAAAAGAATGCATCAGTTGCTCCTTTTGAATATATGCGACAAAAATCTGTTTAGCACACCAGATGACTTCTTTCTCCCTATGTGTATCTAACATGTAATGTACATGCAGTCAGAGATGAAACTTTTTGGAGGCTCTGACACCATGACTCTTAAGCACCACTTTGGGAAGAAGATTATGGAACTTGAGGATGAAAAAAGAATTGTGCAGGTCAAACGAAACTATGGAACTTCCTTGCATGATTTCCAGATTTTGGCTCCTGGATACTGATTCAATTGTTCGTCTATTTTGTTACTGCAGCAAGAGAGGGACCATTTGTTGGCTGAAGTTGAAAACCTTGCAGCGACTTCTGATGGGCAAAAACAAAAATTGCATGATATGCATGCCCATAAATTAAAAGCCTTGGAAGCATAGGTTATCATCTTGTTTAACAATATTTCATTTCGTTTTGGATTTAATACAATTGGATTTCTTTTATTATTTTATTCTAACTGCAATGCCTTCAAAATTTATAAAACATCAGATACAGGATCTTAAGAAGGAACAAGAGAATCAGGTTCAGCTTTTAAAGCAAAAGCAAAAGAGTGATGAAGCAGCTAAACGGTTACAAGATGAAATACAATTCATCAAGGCTCAAAAGGTTGAGTCACACTTTGGATTCTGTTATTTTGGTATCCTCTAACCTATTTTTGGGGTATGTGCTTCTGATTTTCTTCATTTTTAAAGTTCAGGTTCAATTACAACAAAAGATTAAACAAGAGGCTGAACAATTTCGGGACTGGAAGGCATCTCGAGAGAAGGAATTGTTGCAGGTACTTGTGTCATGTAAAGGATTGAAAACCATTGAGTCAACAAAATCATCCATTTAAATGTGCCTCACTTTCTAGACATTCTTAGTCAGTTATATACGTGTACATTTTCTTATGATTTTTTGGGGGGTGTGAGGTTCCCTTTATGTAGTCCAACTCTAGAGTTGCCTTCATGAAAGTTTAACGTGATCTGCAGGAGCTAAACTTACTGCCAACTGGGCTCTTAGCTGCATTTGCTTGTATTGATGATCTTATCTTATATAAAATATTGATGCAGCAGACACAAAGGAGAACAATTGAAGAGAGAAAAAAGAGAAATGAAGAAGCAGAAAGAAGAGCCTAAGAGTTGAGAGAACATATATTCAAAGTTATGTAATCAATGATTTTTTTAATATGTCAACAGTAAAGTGACTATGTGACCTATATCTCATTCCATGTTTACAAACCTCGAGTTTGACGATGTGTTGTCTCATAACTCCTCCTGTGTTGTTTAGGAATCTTTTACTTTCTGTTGATTACATTCAGAAAATGGAGATAGCCCTTGACTGAAATGAATGCCAAAACTAGTGCTCACCTTCACTTGTGTATGTTGGCAATTTGGTTAAGAAAAATTAGTTTACATCCTTGGTATACAATATTTTATCCTTAAAATGATTGACGTGCAACGCATGTGGGCATCAACTAGTATTACATATATAAATCCCTTAAAGTCCCATCAATGTTCAACTTGACTACACCAAAGGGGGAAAACACCCACCTCACCCAATGTACCCTCCACACCAATTTATAATGCAATTTAACATCCAAAAATTCCAGCCAATCTCTGCCTCTTCCACAATCCTGCACCCTAAACTTTAAAAAACATGCATGTTGTCTCAAAAATGCCACAGATTTTAATAAACAAAGAGTAAGAATGCAGTTTCCCCTCATCCGCTAGTCTCCTACAACTTTCTCTCCAAATTTGCCAGAAAACTACTAAGGCAACACTCCTCACCAAACCAAATCCAGCAGACATCCTTTTGAAAATTCTACAAATCCTCATCATCCTTACCAGAAGATGCTCTCCTGTGATAAGCTAAAAACCAATTATGGCAGAAAAAGCGTTATTATTGAGGTGAATAATGCATGATTGTATTCTAATTGAGTACCATTACCTGAAATTGTGAAGTACAATAAAAAAATGGAGGTCAAAGTGTAATTATAGGAATCAATGGGAGAAAGAATGACAAAATACTATTTTTAGAAAAATGTCTTGCAGATTTTGTTCGGATGGTGGTGGTACTGGGTATGGGGGTTTCGGATGGTGGTGCCGTTGCGGCTATGGACTAATCTAATGGTGGTGTTGCTGGTGGTTTCGGATGGTGGTGCTGGGGTTGTGGGCTAGTGATTGTGGAGTTGTTGGTGATTTCGGATGGTGGTGCTGGGGATGTGGGGTACTGATTGTGCAGCTATTCGTTTGGAATGGGGGTGTTGAATTCGAATTTGGGGAAGAATGAAGACAAAAGGGAAAAAAGAAGAGAAAAGGAGGTCTGTGTAAAATGATAAAAATGTTGGTTCAACCAACGTTTTTTAGTGTTAGAGACGTTCATCAGACCAACGTTTCTGTGAAAAAATTAAAAGTGTTAGGAAAACGTTGGTTGAAGTGACGTTTACATAGAAAACGTTAGTCCAAATAACATCTTTTAGTCTAAAAATTGTTACCAAAATAACTACAACAGATTAAAAGGTTTTGATCGTATATTCACTTTCCTTAAGGAAATTATACCCCCACTATGTTGTTGCTGGGTTTGTGGCAAATTTCTCTAGGAACAGCAAAGCCAAATAGAATTTTAGATGACAAACTCTAAAATTTTCTCAAAAACAGAATAAATAAATATTTTTTTATCTGTTTATTGAAGGATTTGTACATGTATTTATAATACCTTAGAGATGCAAAGAAGAGACGCAACTCTTAGGGCCAGAGACATGTAGCAGTTAATTAACTGCTTAATTAATACAAAATAATTAATTGTTTATAGACTTCAAGCCCAGGATACAAAATAATTAATTGTTTATAGGCTTCAAGAGGCTTCAAGCCTAAGATGCCCATCTTTTGACTTTACATATTATTTTATTTAAAGCCTACGCCCATTGATTTGAAATATTTGGAACTTCATTCCAAATCTTCCCACCATCCAAACTTATAAATTTTGGTGTGATTCTTCTTTTGTACTCTTACACTCCCTTTCAACTTTTTCAATGTGGGATATCTTACATTACTAACTATTTCTAACAAAAATGTCATTCCAATTAACGTTTTTAAAATTACTTGAATTCGGAAAATAGTTTGAAAAGAACCCTTTTTTGAATATAAATTTGAAAAACCCCATGGGTTAGGGGTAAAAGCTCGTTGTTTTCTCTTTCTTCTTCTTCTACCAGAGCGTCTTAGTCAGCAATCTTCATAACTGCACTGAATATATCATTTGTATTTTGAAAATCAACCCAATTAGATCATGGTTCTTATAGATAGATGTACACATATGTCTACATTTATGTTCTCAGGTATTTTCTCCAGTTATGCTTCTGAATGTTATAACCTTGTCAAACAGGCAAGTTTGATTGTCGTTGTGAAGGGAAAGATGTGTGGTTCGCTTGGAAGGCCATTTGGGTGCTTAGGCAACTTTCGAGGCAGCTCTTCTTGGCGAACGGTTATTTTGTTTTTTGTTTTGGCATAGTGAATTGGGTTAATACTTTTCTAATTGATATTAGGTGCTCGCAAGTTGGTTCGAACACCTTGACTGTTGAACAAAAAAAAAGAAGAAGATATTGGGTGCATGGGAGTGGAGGGTGCACGCTTGCAGACACATTCTCTCTCCCTCTTTTCTTCCCCTTTCCCTCTCCAAAATTCATTTTCAAGATAATACATTTATCTCTGAATTTTAATCAATAGAATAAGTGCATTTATGAAGAATAATTCCAGATTTATCATCTTAAACCTTAGTTCATAGGCCAAAAAGAATCATAAACCCCTCTTCTCCCCAAGGTTTAGGAAAACGAACACAAAGGGTGGTAAGACTATACCAGAATGGGAATAGTCTTATGAGCAATGCTATGTTTATCAAAATATTTACAAAATTTTATATTTTAAATCAATGTGAATGATTAGATCAATAAAATTCACTAACTTCACTAAAAATTCAATATATAATTAAATAAATTTTGACAACACATCTATATATACAACATGGATCCTTCTTGTTCCTTTCAAGTATGCCAACGAAGCGAATTTGTATTTCGGTCTTCACGCACCTCACTGACCTCACTCACCCTAATTCTTCATATTTGATTCTTCAGTATTCAACGTCCTCTGCTCAAACCCTTTCAAAACCCAACCGACAAACTACAAAAATGCTTGTTTACTGCAACTCACATATAACAAAAAATGGCCGAAACGACAATATCAAAGAAACCGTGTCAATTTTCAATCACATGCCAACCAAAAATGTTATCTCCTAGACCACAATGCTCACTGCATATGCTGAGAATGGGCAAATTCAGATGGCTTGTAAAGTATTCGATGAAAGACCCCAAAAAAGTGTCACCTCGTGGAACACAATGATCACTGCTTATATAAAAAATAGAGTTAGGATTGTTTTGATTTATTTTTGAAAATACCAGTACGAAATGAGGTGTCTTATGCTGCAATGGTTACGAGTTTTGTTAATATAGGAAAGTTTGATAAGGCTGAAGAACTGTATGCTGAGACGCCTATGAATTGGTGTGATCCTGTTTGTTCAAATGCTTTGCTAAATGGGTATTTGAAGATGGGGAGATTGGATCAGGCGATTAGGGTTTTTGAGGGCATGGTGGAGAAAGATGTGGTTTCTTGGAGCTCAATGGTTGATGGGTATTGTAGAAATGGAAGACTTGGTGAAGCTAGAGTGTTATTTGATAGGATGGAAGAGAAAAACGTGGTTACTTGGACTGCTATGATTAATGGCTATGTGAAAATGGGTTGTTTTAAAGATGGGTTTGGATTGTTTGTGCAGATGAGGCGAAAAGATGTTGTAAAGGTTGTCTCGAATACACTGACCGTAATTTTTGAAGCTTGTGGAAGACTCGGTAGATATGAAGAAGGGTGTCAAGTGCATGGTTTGGTTTTGCGTATGGGATTTGAGTTTGATTTTTTCTTAGGCAATTATGTTCTTAGTATGTATTGTAGGTTTGGTTGTATAGATGCGGCTATTAATGTATTTTGTACGATGAAGGAGAGAGATGTGGTTTCTTGGAATTCTCTAATTGCTGGTTATGTTCAGGTGGAAGAAATTGAAGAGGCTTATTAACTTTTCAAGGAAGTACCAGATAAAGATGTAGTTTCTTGGACAACCACGATTACTAGGTTTTCTAGTAGAGGTATGACAGGAAAATCCACTAAGTTGTTTAAAATGATGCTAGAAAAGATGATGTTGCTTGGGCTGCTCTTATTTCAGGGTTTGTGACCAATGGAGAATATTAGGTGGCTATCTGTTGGTTCATTGATATGCTTCAGCAAGCGGTCAGACCAAACCCTCTTACCCTAAGTTGTGTGCTCAGTGCTTCAGCTGGTTTGGCTACATTAAACCAAGGCTTGCAAGTACATGTTCATGTTGTGAAAATGGATATGGAACTAGATTTGTCTATCCTAAATTCACTGATCTTGATGTATTCGAAGTGTGTAAGTGTAAATAATGCCTATAAGACCTTCCAAACCATCCCTTCCCCAAATGTTGTTTCTTTTAACTCGATAATTACTGGATTTGCCCAAAATGGGCATGGGAAAAAAGCACTTAATTTTTTAAAAAATGCAGGATGAATGCTAGGTACCTAACGAGATTACCTTTCTAGGAGTTCTTTCAGCCTGTACTCATATGGGAATGGTAGAAGAAGGATGGAGGTACTTCAAATCCATGAGATACTCATATAAGATTGAACCAGGGCCTGATCACTATGCATGCATGGTTGATCTCCTCGGGAGGGCTGGTTTGCTGGATCAAGCAATTAATTTTATCACTTCAATGCCATTGGAGCCCCATTTTGGGGTTTGGGGTGCTCTTCTTGGTGCAAGCAGGAACCATGTGCAGCTTGACCTTGCTAAACTTGCAGCTCAACATCTTTCTGAATTAGAGCCCCACAATGCGGCTCCTTATGTGGTTTTGTCCAACCTTTACTCTGTTTTAGGGAACATGAAGGATGAGGAACAAGTTAGAATAGCTAAGAAATTGAAAGGGATAAAGAAAAGTCCAGGTTGTAGTTGGATTATGGTGCAGGACAAGGTTAACTTGTTCCATTTTGGAGATCGATCTCATGTAAAGTTTGAAGAGATCAAAAGCATAGTATGGACAATTTTGGATGAAATGAGATGGTAAGATTATTTTACATGGGGACTGTTTCCCTGCTTTGGAAAACCAAATATTTTAATAAAATGGATGTTTTCTTTGATACTATATTTTGGCAAACATAAATGGAAGCGAACCATGAAATGGATTTTTTATATACTCCTGCTCTCATGAAAATATGTGAAGTTTGGTGTTGAAATTTTTGCTGAGAGAAACTGTGGTGAAAGCTTTGTCTTTCTTTTGGGTCTTCCTTTGTGCATTTTCCATATTATATAATGAAAGGCTGGAAAAATTTGAAGGGAGCAATGCCACTTTGTAAATTTCTGCCCTTCAATCAAGCTACAAGGCTATAGCCATGAGTAAAATCTAGGAGAGAAGGGACAATCTAATGAGAAAGGGGCAAGCGACAGATTGGTAGAAAAATAGGTAGGCCTTCAGAGTGATCAAATCAACCCATCATTCTTCCCTAAGCTATAAGATTCCAATTGAATGTGCAAGAGATGGAGGAATCATTGCTTATTCGTATACATTGGAACTTAATTAGGAGGATGACTATGAGAATTAGAGGTTTCTGTCTTTTGTTCTACATCGCTAAGGCGTCTAAAATTTTAGACAGGAACGACCATAAACCCTCCATCATGGAATGGTGCTTTGACATATTGTCGGAATCGTAGTCCACCTCTTGGCTTCACTCTGCTTACTCTTGGGTTGGAGTAGACCTATTCGAAAGCTAGTCTTTCTCATGTCCAGTTGTTCTGGTACTCTTTTTGTTGTTTTATTCTTCTACTACCAGAGTCTCTCAGTTGGCAATCTTCATAATTGCGCTGAATATATCATTTGTATTGTGAAAATCAACCCATTTGGATCATGGTTCTTATAGATAGATGTGCATATATGTCTACATTTATGCTCTCAGGTATTTTCTCTAGTTATGCTTCTGAATGTTATAACCTTATCAAACAGGTAGGTTGGATTGTTGTTGTGAAGGGAAAGATGTGTGGTTCACTTAGACGGCCATTTGGGTGCTTAGGCATCTTCCAAAGCAGCTCTTCTTGGGAAACAATTATTTTGTTTTTTTGTTTTGGCATAGTGAACAGGGGATAATACCTTTCTAATTGATATTAGGTGCTCGCAAGTTGGTTTGGATTGACTGTTGAGAAGATATTGGGTGCATGGGAGCGGAGGGTGCATGTTTGCATACACATTCTCTCTCCCTCTCTTCTTCCCCTTTCCCTCTCCAAGATTCATTTTCAAGCAAATACATTTATCTGAATTTTAATCAATAGAATAAGTGCATTTATGAAGAATAATTCCAGATTTATCATCTTAAACCTTAGTTCATAGGCCAAAAAGAATCATAAACCCCTCTTCTCCCCAAGGTTTAGGAAAACGAACACAAAGGATGGTAAAAAATAGCCTTCTATTTCTGATTTCTCTTTCTTCTCTCTTCCAAATTTTGTTGCTAAATGGCATCAAAACTTTATCATCCTATTGCTCTGTTAAACTGTGTAGTATTGTTGGTGGGTCTCTATGTCCAGACCCTCAACAATTTAGATTTTGGGATAAGCATGTCCAAAGACAGCAAAATTTCAATGCAGAACCTTTGACACCAGTTAACAAGGGCAGAGTCAGAAATATATATGAGGGGGCAAAATATAACTAATACAAAAAAATATTTAGCCAAAATTGATACAAAAAAATTAAGTTCAAGAATGACAACAAAGTAAGAATCAAGGCAAAATTATTGTAAAATAGTAAATTCAATTTTTATTTAGTTGAAACAAAATTCAAACAAAAAGATACAAAATAATTTTTTTAGTACATTTTAACCTAATTATATATTTCAATAAAATATAACATTTGTTAAAATCTCTAAAATTTTGTATATGAATTAAACATAGATTAATTTTTCACTAATTTTTTATCAATGCGCACAGTCACAAATCCGTAGTAAAATTATTCTCTATTAAGTTGCAAAACTTAGTTGAGATCATTATCGATTTTATAGAGAAATTCCCTATTTGAAATAGCTTGAAATATTTTTGGATTATAACCTTTTGTCTTTTGTCTATAAGTGTATTTTATTGGGTTATAGACGACTATTACAAAAAAAATAGTAAATGAAAACTAAAAATTATTCTTAAAAAGTAATGAATATTGTATTAGATAAAGAAAAATATTGTATGTTGATTAATATACAAAAAGATCAGGATATTTATATCTGACTGACTCAATCCAAAAATAAAATATTTATTTTAGATGTTTAGTGAACCAGTAATTTATTGAAAAAAAAAAAAGAAAGATTAGAACCATTATTGAAATTTTCAAAGATTTAAGGGTGGAAAATATAATGTATTAAATAATTTTATGGGTCTTTATCAAAAGTGGTCCAAAAGTTTTGGGGGGGGGGGGGGGCAAGTGCCCACCCTGATCCCTATGTGGCTCCGCTTTTACAAGTTAATAATCAGAATCTGAATAATAAAAAAACATGGTGTGATAATTAACTTGCGACTTCAACCTGTTTCTTGTTTTGCTCAAAAATTTGAGATGACGTCCATGTAGCTCTTTCTATCATTGAAGAGTTGTCCTTCCCCCTCTCTCCCCAACCTGCATTCATGTTTACTGGTAAAAGATCTGATCTGATGAGCTTCAAGTTGGGATTGATGTAATAAGGTGGGACTAAGATAAGTTATTCAATGTGCGACAAACTAATATTGAGTGAAAATTAATATTTTAGGGTTTTTTTTTCGGAGTTATGTATTGATGTAATGAGCCAAAATTAAGCCGGGACATTGTTTGGAAATGAATAAAATTTTTGTTTCGAGGCATTTTGATAAAAATTTTGTTTTGGGACAGATGGCAAATAGAAACAATCCTGATAGACTAGGCAGGTGGCCTTGAAAATATTGATGAAAATAGAAAAGTTTCAAAAGTACAGAAATGGATACAATTTTTTGAAATTTATTTTCAAATAATTTCCAACCATTAATCAACATAAACTAAAAACTCAAGAGTAAAACATTTCAAGATCATTTTGACCAAAGAAGGCTCACTAAACGCCCATCGAATAGAGTGGGCTCAAGTACGCAAGCGAGGGAGCAATCTCTATAAGGGATGAACCACAATCTAAAGGGGAAGAGAAGAATGGCTGATCGGTTAGCGGGTGATATGCAAGCAAGACTGTTAGTGAACCAACCAAGTCAATCCCTTTTCACTTTGCGCCCAATTGTTGATACAAACATCTTGAAATATTAAAAACCATTAGTTGAAACATTTTGAAACACCTGAAGGATTCTGAAACACTTGAAGCATTGAAATTTCTAGTAAATCATGATGCATTTCGATCTCATTGGAATTTCCTACTTCACTTCACATTTGAATTTCAAGTATATATAATTCATCAAGGACTTGATTCCTGGATGCAAAAATTAATGCAGTGCAGAAGAAATAAATTTTGGTGGGCTATACTGATGGTGACGTATGTGTTCGATCTCATATGGGGTGTCAACTTTTACTTATTGATCCGAACACGATACGATACACTACGACACGACACGATACGATTATAAAATTAATACAATTATTAAATATGCCTAATAAATAGTTTAAACTGTTTGACCCTTAAATATAATGAACAGATTTTTTTTTCCGTAAGTCTTGAACACTACAAGAATAACAATGATACTACATAAAAACACACGACATGAATTAAAATTCATTGAGTCACAAAGGGTCGCCACATGGCTCCCATATTAAGAAGCTGATTTCTAAGGCCTCATAGATATGTTTTTAATAGCATTTTTTATTTTTAGTCTCTAAACTATGTATTTTGAATTATTTTAATTTTTATTATATTAATTTTATCAATTTAATCCCTAAAGTATTTAACATGATATTTTTTAAAATACTTGCTGTGGATCCAATTTGGTGCACTAAGATTCAACTTAAATTTATAGTCAAATATTGCGTGTTTTTTAAAAAAAATACTTGTTATAAATCCGATCTGGTGCACTAAGATTCAATTTTTCATCCATCCATTTTTTCATCAAAACAAACGGAGCATAAAATTATGAATCCGACCTCGTATAGTCAAATTCGGAGTGATATTTTTGAGACATTTGTTATGGATCCGAGTAAGTATCTTTTACTTAATATTTTAACTATCTTTTATTTTTTTTGAACATGTGATTATCGGCGGCAAAAACCAACATCAATACCACGGTAGTGACCACGGGGGAGATGCAAAATACCATGCATGTGGACCCACATGTTTTCCTACTGATCACTTCACATATAATGAGGAAACCATATATAGTGAATTTCAAGTGTATATATATATATATATACACACACATGATATTAAAATGTATTTTTTATATTTTCAACACCAATAGAAATTAGTACCGATAATAGAAAGTATTCAAATCTCTTCCCATGTTTGTTTGTTTAATAGGTATTATAGTGAGTTTCACAAACAATCATTTATTCTATCACATCTTGTATAACAAATATATATTATATATTTTATTACTTTGTTTGTGTAAAGCTTTTGCACAATGTTTGATATAATACATAGTACGACAATCCATACCCAAAAAGTTCTGGATAATGTAAAAAATTCACATAAAAAATAAAGAATCTGATGCTATGAATCGGTGACACTGTAAAAAAAAAAAATAAAAAAAAAAAGGTGACACCGTATGCTTAAACGTAATACAAAGAAAAAATTTAAAAATCCTTCCTCATGTTAATAAGGAGGATAATGGTTGTCTGGCTTAAACGATTTTCTAAGTAGTTTACATAATATACAGAATCTTAGAACAAAGTTTAAAACACACACAAGTAAACAGATAGAAGAGTTCTCAAATAAAATCGATCTCTAAAACATATATAATACCACTCAAACCCAAAAGCATTACAACACAATTACTTTATAAACAATAATAGTTGAGACTTGACCGTTCACACACCACACATCATACTTAATGCATAAAAACACATACGGTAGATAGATAGATAGATGATATGATCTGTGATTCCACATAAGGAATCTTCATGTCAATTTCAACCACCACCACCACAACCACCACCGCCACCACAACCGCCACCGCCACCACCACCGCCACCACAACCACAACTGCCACCACCTCCGGAACCACCACTGGCACAATCATCCATACAGCCGCTTCTAGATTGACCTGCAGTAGCAGCAGCTTTTAGAATAACCATTGAACCATCTTTTAGGACTTTCTTCTTCTCTTTGCTGGTACCGCTGGAGAGAGAAGCCAAAGCTACAGCCACCTTATCGAACCCCAAGAGGACGAGCCCAAGTACATTGGTCATCTTGCTTCCAACTTCACTTCACCTATGAGGAAACCTTATAGTGAATTTCAAGTATAACTAATGCATTGTATATATAGTGCATCGAGGACTTCAATCGCAAGATTAGATGTGATCCCCAATTTAATGACGAATCATTGGGACGATGCTCCACCCATGTGGGACCATTAAAAATACCGTGGAGAAGAAAAATGGTGATGGATGAGAAGGATGGCGATGGCTTGACCGCTAATAAACTCAAAAGTCCATTGAATTCAAATTATCACGCTTGTATTCATTCCGTCGCACTTTGATATTCTTTTAAGGTCAGGCATAAGTTACGAGGGTCACTGCCTAGGCCTCAAAATTTTCTAAATATAATTTTTAGGGCCTCTAAAGAAAAATATTTTGACCATCGACTTCATTCAAATTGTTTTTGCCTTATTCAGGCTAGTCTTGTAGAGTAAGGCCGGATTTCTTCGCATGCTTTAATGCATCTTTCTCATATCGATCAAGACAAAACTTGTGTTTTTAATAAGGAGCGCGTTAGTTAGGCCGTTTTCTTGCAGGCAAGCAAACACGCACCCTTACATTTTCTTTGCTTGCTCTGCAGTACAAGCCTCATACAAAACTGCACCTCAAATCACTCGGATCTTGCTGACTCTATTAAATCGGAGAATAGAATTCTCATAAACATATATTTTTATTTTGTATTTATTATTTATATCAGCTTGATTGCTTGAGTGTCTATAACCCAATTGTTTTAAATTGATTTTTTTTTTGTTCCTTAGACTAAACTCAAATCCTTTTTTGATCTGATTAAGATTTTTGCCTTCATTGTTTTTAAATATTGATTAAATCAACGCTTACAAGTAAATGAAACAGTCATTAATATCATAAAGTTAAAAAAAAATATTGGAATTATAATATATTTTAATTAACTAGATAGAAATAGAATTCACTTATAAAATTATTAGAAGAGCAAAGTATGTTTGGTCGAATACCACGTGATATTTTTTAAACAATAGTTATCGATACAATCTTGCTGTACGAATGAGGTGGAATTACAATTTGTACCTCATGGCGCGATTTTTCTTGCGTTCGTATTAGCTATAAATGACACAAATTAAATTCTTTAGAGATCAGATTAATAAAATTGATATAATAAAGATTAAACTATCAAAAAATGGATCCTTTAAGAATAAAAAGTACTATTAATCCCTTAAATTATTTTCCAAAAAAATGAAATATAGATTATATACTATTATTTAAAATTTTATTTTATGACCCTATTTTTTTTTTTCAATTTGGGGGTCAAGGTAATGACTTTAGTGGCTTATAGGTTGGACCGGAACCGGTTGTGAGGTAGATGGTCAATGGTGATGTTTTAAAAATAATATACGTTTGCAAGTAAATGAAATAGATGTTAATGATGATAAATCAAAGAAGATTACGTGCTGGAATTACAATAAATTTTAATTAATTAGATAGAAATCACCCATTAATTTGTCAAACACGTTTGCCTAAAAAAAATAAAAAAAGATACCTTGAATTAGACGGTGGAACGTCACTTGGGTCATTGATAATATATGTATATATTCAATTGTGCGTGTGACTTTACCATTTCAAGTTTGCTTAAATGGTATAAGTCATGTCGGACGTTTCAATTGTTAATGAAAAATATTCGTGTACATTTTTAGTACCTAAGCTATCCGTGAAATGTTACGCTGACATCTTCACTACCAATATTTAGCAATTACGTTCCAAAAATTTTTAATTTGAATTTAATGTTAAAATTGCTAACATAAAATGTTTCCAGCACCTCACAAAGAAATGTTTCATGCGTTTGAATTCAAATACCTATCATTGATTGAGAATACAGGCTTTAAATTGAAAACTTGAAGAAAATAATTGTCAAAACTTAATCAAGATTGTTGGAAACGGAGCATAATCGATATAATTTTTAACTATGGTATAAAAAAATCATTCAAAGCCACAAACACAAAAGGTTTTGACGGGTTATACTAAAATTGATCTCTTTGCTGTAAATTTTAGGCCAAAAAATAAAATAAAATCGGTTTGGCTACTTTTTTTTATAGGGTGCATTTGGTGAGTCACACTTTTGGCAGTTTTTTGGATTACGACCGTGTTAAAACTCAAATAGACTAAAAATATAAACATTTATGATTTTATTTTATTTGAATTGGTGCAAGGTTCTTAATAGGGGTGTTCACCCTACCCTAAGAGTAGGAAATATGGTCTTCCGTTTTCTTACTCGGTATTTTGCAAAAAAAAAAATTTCTTCGCCTACCCTACCCGATCAAGTGTGGTATTCCTACCCGACTTCCAGCCAAATTAATCGGGTAGGAAGTCGGATAGGAAATTTAGTGAACACTTTTGTAATTATTAATTTTTAGATCATTTTAACAATTCAATTAAATAGCATGAACTAATTTAACAACACAATAAACTAATAACACTAAAATTTAAAACAATTCCAACAACATTTACAATAAAACACAAGAAAGCAAAAATATCATTCCATCATAATTGTTGCACAAATATAATAACAATTATTTTAAGTTTAAAACCATATGGTTAGGGAATTAGGGTTTTTAAACCATAGATATATATTAATGCGGGTAAGATAGGGCAGGAATACGTAAATTAATGGCTATTCCACATTCCTACCCAATTTAATAGGAAGACCAAAAATTCTTCTGTATTATTACTTGATTTTTTTGGCTAGCCGTTTAATAGGGTCGGATAGGGTAAGAAATTGCGGCTAATCGAAAATTTGAACACCCCTAATTCTAAAATTATGACGGTAGCGAAATGTAAGATTATTTTTATGCTTTTTTATCTACCTTGGAGATCAAGAACTTAAATAATTTATATTGCAAAAAATTGATGAACTAAAATCTGAAAAAAAAAATTATCGGGATTGAAAATAATAAAAATGAACAACGAAGACCATAAAGATATGTAAACTACCATGAAGATATGTATCTACTTCAATTTATTATTGGCTTTGATTTTTCTACTTTCTTAAATCTTGAAATGATTGAAACATTACCATATAGAAATCTACATCTATATATATACTACTAATAAAAAGAAGGTAAGTGAAAAATTTTTGATTACCTATTATAGCCCTATAAAAATATTAAAGACACCTACATCCTTATTTATTTAATTACCTAATATTAATTATATATTCAAATGACTCTTCATATACTTCCATTTTCACAAGAATTATTGTTACTTGTATTACACTTTTTTATTTTCTAATTACCTAATTTTAATTTTATATTCAAATGACTCTTCATATACTTTTATTTTCACAATAATTATTGTTCCATGTATTATACTTTTTTATTTATTTTCTAAGCTAATGACACTATCTCTCTTACATTTACTTCTCATAAACTATTTTGTTTACAAATCCATTAATCATCTTTACTTTATGAAAAATAATAGATTATCATTAATACAACTATTATGCCATCGATAACCATCATTAAGTTTATTTTATCATTTATTTAATATGAACTGATGTGTAGCTTTGCAGATGATACAAATTTCTGACAATAAATATATTAATTAATCAAATAAAATTTGAATCATTTCATCTTCTATTTTATGGCTACGTGGACATCTAATAATCAAATAAATATTCAATCCCACGAATTTCAATCATAGATTAATAGTAATATTATTCTATTCCTCTCTCATTCTCTCATACTCATGTTTTTTACCTGGTTGCATGTTATTACTCTTTTTCATATGATTTATGTTTTGCTTGGAGATAGGCTTGCATTAACATCTTGAAAATTTTCTTCTTGATTGTTAAGTGTTTTTTATTTATGAACAAGCGTGATCAATTGTGGAAGGTCGCAGTAAAAATTACATCATGAGATTTATGTACTCTAAATCATATACCTTCTATATGTTTAATTTTTATGGTAATAGGTTAATTTTTTGTTTAGCACTGAAACTCATTTTGCGTATTTAGCATTATATCTCGTGTGTAAGAAGAATTACGTGATTCTTCTCATGTATTGAATAATTGAAATGGGATCTTCCATCACGTGAATCATATTTCAACTAGGTTTTTAAATTGCTCTAGGAGATAAGGAACCAAATACTAATGTTTGACAATATTAATTTTACCATTTGAATGTGGTAAAACAAATTTTAGTATGTTCATTATAGATATTACAGGTAATTCTTTTTCTAGGATGTTCATGAAGTATATATGACATTTCTTTTGAAGTGTAATTTAATAATTGATGTTATACATGCCTGCACTGTGAAAAGGCCGACGTATAACTCCCTTCGCGCTGAGTTACAAAAGGTCTCTCAAGCAGTCAGGGTAGAGGAGAAGGGTGAAGAGCGACCCCTCAATAAGCCGCGAGGTAGTGCCGAGGTTATTCAATTTTCTGATACTGACCTCGGCAGGATAGTCATTCCCCATGAGGAGCATTGGTGATCACTTTGCGGGTCGGCAGATTTGATGTCAAGAGAATCTTGGTAGACTCTGGCAGTTCTTTCGAAGTGATGTATGATCATTTCTTCCGCAAAATGAGCTTCTCATAAGGAGATCTGGAACCCGTGAAAACCCCCCTTATCGGGTTCAATGATTCCAGCGCCCTCCCCCTTGGGAAGATCACACTTATGGTACGTGCGGGGATTGTTACCACCCCAGTGGAGTTTGTGGTGATAGACTCTGACACCCCATACAACGATATTATGGGAAGATCATGGTTGCATGCGATGAAGGCGGTCCACTCGTCCTATCACCAAAAGATCAAGTTCCCTACACCGTAGGGTATAATGGAAGTCAGAGGTGATCAAGCGTCAGCGAAAAACTGTTTCTATGCTGCGGTAAAGACTGGAGTTAACAGCCGAAGTTAGGAACGTGATCCTGAAGCTGTGGTTGCCAAATAACAATCACAAAATGGCCAGTCGGGAATGGATGAACCCATTATAGAGCTGGTCGACCGTTCTACCGAAGTCTTAGTCAAAGTTCTCC